GTTGAGCGCGAGCTGCCCCCATCCCCGTGTGCCATAACAGCCCACTTGTACACTGTGAGAAAGAGGCAGAGTGAAGGGGGAGGGGAGAAACACAGGGAGGAGAGATGGAGAGCAGACAAACAAAGAACGATAAAGGGAAAGTAAGGGAAAGTATGGAGTGTGGAGTGAAAATGAAGGCAAAAGAGGATAAGAAAAGGCTCAAGAATGAGTCTGTCCTTGATGACAGAGAGGACATACATTGTAAGGATGACGTGGATGAACACATGGAAGACCTATCTGAGCATTCTCAGTGCAACAATTGCCACGACGGGTTGCATTGAGCATGCCCGCCATAGACCCCCGACAAATGGCATGTCGATTGCAGGCCAAAATGAAAGAAGAACGGTCCCCACAAAAGAGCATGCATTCAGTATAGCGCCCAAGGCCGCAAAATAGACATATAGTGTCCGGATGCGGAGGGTGCCTGCAGTCAGGAACGGTGGGACAATCCTCTGCACACATGGATGCAGAAACCATGTCATTGTAGTGATTGTGACAAAGACGATGGCGGCTACAACCGAGTGTAACAGTGTTTGTGGTTGTGCAAAGGAGAAGGTCGCAGAGTGTTGGTGCATTGTCTTGCTGCAGCACGTGGGCAGAGGAATGATCTTCGACATAAAAGAGATTGCGGACAGTTTGTTGTGGTAAGAAAACAACATCATTTTATAAGAAATCAGTGACATCAATCATGGCATGGACCATGGTGCCATTGTCCCACAGCTCCCAGTGGTCAGAGGCATGTACAATGGCCATGTAATGGCCAGGGCCGTGCACAATGCAGGCAGAGATGTGGGATGGAGGATTAAACCACTCACCTGCTCGAGCATTGCGTAGTTCAAGTTGACGGTCCCTCATTGCTACTTGTAGGACAGCAATGGTAAAGTCTCCTTCGCTGGTATAATTGCAATCCCCTGGCTGTCATTGGGGAAGATCGGCATCAAGCTGAAGGGCGATGACAAGGAAGTCTGATGGTGTATAAAACGGGCGATGGAGAATGTGAAGACAAATATTAGTTGCTGTCAAACCACAGAGATTGGTGAGGTTCTCAGGCTGGTTTGTTGGATGCTGGCCAACAATTTGCAGATCACCCAGATGGTGTTGCAAGCCCAAACTGTGTTGGGTTGTTTGCTGGTCAGTCATTTGCAGATCACCCATGTGGTCTGCATGTGGCGGAGCACAAAATTGTGTTTCATCCGCACAATGCTGGTCAGCCATTTGCAGATCCCCCATGTGGCCTACGCCTTGTGGGTTCAACTGCGATCCGGGCAGATCATGTTCCAATCCCTCAATGTTTAGGGCTGCATCCTGAGTAGGGACTATACCTGGAGTTGGGAGTGTACTCTGGCAGCGGCTGCATCCTGAGTAGGGACTGGTGGCTGCCTGCAGGCAGATGGACTGTCTGCAGGAGTCATAGGAGCGGATATTGCCGTTTGAAACAAAGGAACCGCAACAACCYRTGGAGGAGGCACAAAGAGAATCGGGGCAGACAAAGAAACAGGTTGCTGATCCCCGGACAAGTGACGATGCCGCGGATGTCGTTGGTGATACACAACAAGGGGAGTAGTGGCGTTGCAAACAGAAGCTGAACTCGTACCTAGCAACGCAGGTGGAACAATGGGGACAATGGAAACTGGAGAGTCTGTTCGCAAGCGAGATCGTGGAGGAGATGGGGGTGGTGAGGAGGAACGCTGTCGTCTACGGCCAAGCACAGACAAAGATGAGAGGGGGGTGCATTGGGCAAGATTTCGGAGCAACGGGCGTCAGTGTCGAAGAGATTGTGATGATCTTTGCATTGGAGCTGCAGGACAGGATGCTGTAGCAATAAAAACTGAAGTAGGGGGAATTACAGTTAGGGAAACTGCTGTACTGAAAACTGCAGCAGTGGAAACCGCAACAGTAGAAACTGCAGCAGCGGAAACTGAAGCAGTGGAAACTGGAGCAATGGAGACTGCAACAGTGGACACTGCAGCAGTGGAAACCGCAACAGTGGACACTGCAGCAGTGGAAACTGCAGTAGTGGACACTGCAGCAGTGGAAACTGCAACAGTGGACACTGCAGCAGTGAAAACTGCAGGAGTGGAGACTCCAACAGTGGAAACTGCAGGAGTGGAGACTGCAGCAGTGGAAACTGCGGTAGCAGCAGATGAGTAAGCAGGGGCAGGACGAGAGCATCGTCGGGGCGAAGAAGAAATTGGATGATACAAGGACCATCGCAACATGCATCGGAACCACTGAGAGAGACGTCTCACATGTGTAGGATAGTGACGTTGGTGGGAGTGCATGTAGCAGGTCCAACCCTTAGCAAGGGTTGGTGGGGAATGCCCACGCCAAAGCATACGACGAGTAAGTGTTGTTGCCGCAGTTCGAAAGTCTTGCCAATTGTTACAGATTTGTTCAAATTTGGTCAATTGCCCAGTGAACACGCCAGCCGGTTGATGGGAAGGAATGTTGGAGGTCGCACTTGGATAACGAATGACAGGGAAATCCCAAGCAGCCGCTTTATCAAAGATGCTCATGTGAAGCGAGCCATCAGAACGGACCCGTAGCTGCATATATATATATATATATATATATATATATATATATATCATCACAAACAGAACTGCCCGGTAAACCGTAGGCAGAGAGAGAGAAGAGGACAACAAACGAGGGGCTGTGGCAAACTGTTTCGTCGGAGTTTCACCGAGATATATATATATATATATATAAATATTGTCACATCACTACAAACTAAAAGAGCGCACTTTGCGGAACAAAGAATAAAAGCAAAAAACGGGCACAGTGATAACATGCAAAAATAAAAA